CCTTCCTTCCGAGGAGTGGCTGGTGGGTTTGAACCGCCAGCCGTCTGGTTAGCAGGCAAGTGTCTTAGCCACTATGCTACCAGAGCTCCAAAAATGCTACGTTAATCCACCCTAAAATGCAGTGGTGTATGAATCTAGAGGTTACCTAGGAAGTTCTGCTGGTCTTTATTTACTGTGCTCACATATGCATCTGTGGTTTCAGGTCAGCTGGTTGATCTTGGCTGGGCTCACTCTGGGGGGCTGACTAGCTGTTAATTAGTCGAGGACAGCATCAGCTGGGATGAGGACCCCTGGCTCTACTCCATGTGTCTGGTCCTCTAACAGGCTAGGCCAGGCATGAACTCATGGCTATGGCAGAGGAGATAGCAACAGGAGAGCAAGGCTCAATGCGCAGTGCCTTTCATACCTCTGTTTGCATCATCCCATTCACCAAATGAGGTTACACGGCTGAGCTCAGAGTTAAGACGTGGGCAGAACCCAATGTGAGAAACCAAACACTGGAGCCATCAATGCGATTACTTTACCTAGTGTTTGATGTAACACTCTGGAATGTCACTGTTTAGGTGTTATATTAAGGATACCTCAGCTACAAAATGAAGGGATTCAAGGGCATTGGTACTGTCCTATCCAGCTTTAAAACTTGATAAGCAAGTACTAGCTGAACCCCATTTGCTCTTACATTTGCCTAATTAAAGATCACATGATAAGATTTGATTAGGCTTTTTGTATTCCACTAATTCTTTGTGATTGATGATCTCAATATTCACTAAGGACAATGAGGTAGGAATATATTCTTTTCCCTGAAGTTTTTCTCACCTAAATTCTTTGAAAATTTTACTTTTGCCTTCAAACCAGGTTCTCATTTAATTTTATGTTATTCAGTTGTGGCATTTAGAGGCTAACTTATATAATCACTGTCTACTGCTGTTGCTGAATGAATTAATTTATTTACAGGTAATTCCTAGGGTTCAAACGATCCATTCCTAATTGTGTCTTTAAGAATTTGTAGGTAACTTGGAGGGGGATTGGTGCAGGACATTCTGGATAGAGTGGGAGAAAAATGTCGAACAAAACTCAAAATCATGACAAAAAAAAAAAAAAAGACCGGGTTTGCTGCTCTGATAGAGCCTGGTGAGACCCCTGAGACAATGACCCCTAGTTACCCTTCAGGTCTGGAATTGAACTCATTCCTGTGTCTTCCAGCCAAACAGTAGACAGGCATATGGGGCGAACATTTACATCAGGTAGATACACTCCTTGGAGTGATCAATTGTGGGAGAACAGGACAGTGTTTGCACAGGGAGATAGCTGGGGTCAGTGTGGGAGGAGTTGGCACAGTGGGAGTGCATGGGAGGGAACTAAAGGGAAGAAGTGAGAAGGGAGCTGTTACATTGTGGGGAATTGCAGTCAATGTTATGAAATAAAATATGCATGACTGCTATATGGAAAATGAATTTGTTCTGTAAACTTTCACCCAAATCACAATAAAAATAAAAAAAAAAAAGAGAGAGAGAATTTGTAGGTAAGTCAGGACAGGTGCATAAGGTTTTTCAGGCTTACTTTAGTGCAAGAAAGGAACTTTGGTGGCATAACATTCAGCTGCTTAACCAAAACATTGGCAGTTCGAATCCACCAGCCGCTCTGCAGGAGAAAGATGAGGCAGTTTGCTTTCATAAGGATTTATAGGTTTGTCAATCCTTCAGGGGAGTTCTACTCTGTCTGAAAGGGCCACTGTGAATCGAAATTGACTAGATGGCAGGGGATTTTTAGTGCAAGAAAAGGTTTGAAGCCTCTTCAGTCATTTAAAATCTGCATGTGCAGCAAATGAGGTGACTTGTTGAAGAATTAGTTTGGAGTAGGTGTTGGTTCAAAAGTTTGAAAGTGAAGGCAACTTTACATAACATTAAAGGGCAAGTAGGAGTTGTCTGTAAGTCAGTTGTTCGTACCTGAGGACTGCCTGTATTGAAAAATATTTATTGAGAATCTACTAGGTGCATTTTACTAAGTTCTGGGGTTATGATGGTGACAACGATAAACATAGTCCCTGTCCTCTTGGAATTGATTTTCCAGTGGGTAAGATCAGGGGCAACAGTCATAAATAATAATTGGGATAACCACACTGCTGCATGTCAGGTGAATCTCACCTCTAGGGGAACCATAATAATCAAAAACACAAACAAATAAGCTAAATAATTAGTTTGTGACATAAGCTATGAAAGAAATAAAGAGTAAGTGGAGAGGTGAGCCATGACCAGATTTTGTGTTTATGAGCATAGAGGCATTTAATTGTGCTAACTTGTCTATTAAATTGTAAGTGCTCCCACAGCAGTGTCTATGACTGTCATTTCCTATGAGCTCCATGTGACACCTTGAAATGGTGCTAAGCACTTGTCAGACACTGAACAAATGTTGTAGCTGTGACCAGCTGACAGGACATCCTTGGATGTTCAGTCACCCATTTCCAAATTCCCTTGTTGTTCACAGTCATAATATACTTCTTGGTTGTAACTCTTTTATTGCCTTTCTCAGTTCTCTTTATTTTTTCATGTTCTGTTAGTGTGCCGCTCATAAGGTCAGAAAGGAAAATATCAGGGGCAATAGTGCTTAATGAGTCAAAGAACAGCTATTTACATAAAAATGATGGTTCTACAATTGTGACATTGTCCGGAGAAAATGGTTGGGTTCCCTCAACGATTAGCCTAGAAAGGAAGAAAATTAGTTGACCATATTGTTATTAGTTGCCTCAGTGCCATATTCAAGTAGAAGGCCAGGGAGCTGAGCCTGGAGATGGTTTCCAGTTTTAATCTGGCCTGTGGTTAATTTCTAAGGCAGCTTTTTCACACTTTGGACCACTGAGTACTATAGGAGCTATGATCTACACAGTTGAATTCATGTCTAAAGATTGAACCCATAGCCAAATTAAGTTGGAAGGGTACAGATGGACAGTCAAATTATCAGCTTGCCTGAAGCATTTCACATGGATTCTTGTAAAACTCTGGGACAGAATCAGATTCCTTGGGGTCTTCAGAATTCTGATCACATAGGGGACTGAGGATTGTGACATATTCTTTACTTCCTGTGAAAGAACCTAAGAGCAAGACAGAAAGTGAATGAGCACACCAATTTTTGTTAAGGAAGCTTTTAACTTCTTGTTCGTAAATGGTAATAGTTTGGGAAAACTTGATAAATGGTACAATTAATGCAATCTTGAGATTATCCTGTGTTGTGGCTTTGTTAGGTTTGGGATTTTATTTTATCCTACTTAAAAGCTAAGAAATCAGTCTGTTGCTATTTCATGGATGCAAGCAGAAGGCATGAGACTCATGTCCAGAGACAAAAGACATTACTACTCCCAGCCACATGAGCACAAGCATATTTACATTGGTTCTTTGTGCTTCAAGTTCCAAGATGATGATGCAAAGGCCCAGATGACGTTTGTACATGGAATGGGTTGTGGTACAGAGAGAAACACTGAGCCTGAGGAATCCACTGCTTTTATGGCAAGCACTAAGCAAGTCTGCTCCTTGTTCCAGAAGGAGACATTACCTCATCCCTCAAGGTTGCTCACTGCAAACACAACCCTAAGAAATGGCCCCAGTTAAGAGTGGCCACAGCTTTGCATTCTTGGCAAACAGCAAGCATATAGCAACATGAGAGAACCACGTAAGACTGTGTCACCCAACGGGCTTTATATATCAGGTTGAATCAAATGAAATTGCTAGTTTTATAGATCAAAAAAGGCCACATTTTGGTAATTGCATATGATTCAAGCTAATATTATCCATCGCAATGCTGATGAAAGGGTCTCTGTGATGTCTTTTCTTTTATTCTTCGGCCAATTGGAATACACTGCATTTTCTGTTACTATTTCTTTTCTTCCACCAAACTCAGCTGTACATTTTTCCATAACTGTTCCTACAAAGGGTCAAGATCTTTATTTAAAGGTGAATTTCAAGTTTAAAGTGATGCAAAATGACAAATTCATATGGTGTCCAAGCCTCCATCTCTAATTTTTTCAATAGCACGGTTAAGATGAGTCATATTTTTGTTTCTACTATGTATGACTAAGTTCCTATTTCCTTTCCTTTTCTTATGCAGTTCACCAATTTCCTGATATGTTACTGAAAATGCACTCTCCATCTCACCCCAGTATTATTATTATCTTATGTATATGAGCTCTGGTGGCATAGTGCCTAAGGTATTTGACTGCTAACCAGAAGGCTGGTGGTTCAAACCCACCAGCTACACCTCAGAAGGAGGATTGTGCAATCTACTTGCATACAGATACTGCCTCAGAAACCCAAGGAAGGGCCGCTATGAGTCAGGATCAACTTGATGTCAGTGAGTTTGTTTGTTTGTTTGTTTTTTGATACAAATTTATTATGGCACTAAGAGAAGCCCACTGCTTGAGCATTTAAAATTGTAATACTAAGCACAAAGGAGGTTTTTAAAAAATCCCCAAACTATTATTAAATTTACTTTAATGATTATAATATACAGTGATCTATACATTGTACACATACTTTGTGTGTATTGTCTCATTTAATTCTC